AGTTCAGCAGCAGACTCTTGACGCCCAGTAACCGCCCCAGATTCGAAACAACAGCTCAGCATAGCAGCCAGGGCAGAAACACAACAAAAAGTACAACAATAGCAACAACACAGTCTGGAACTCCACAGCAGGTAGCGGTGATGTCTTCGGGCATAGCCTTAACAATGTTACAAAGTACCAACAGCGTCTTAAAATGGATTACCATAACCGAACTGGGAATAACTTGGTGGATAATGCACAGTCAACAACCCCAACCCCAACGCCAACAACTGCCTGCAAGATATTAAGTTCAACACTTAACTCGTTCCTTTCAACTTCTTGCTTCAGCGCGCCTGACTGTTCCCTCTGGCCAGGTCTTAGTAGCCTTAGAAAGCACTTGGGATAGGCAGCTCGGAGCACAAAGATAACCACGATCCAGGCAATAACTTCAGGTGGCATTAGTAAGATGGCCACAGTGGAAGAAGAGCCCGATTCGTGTGTGCAAGGAAAGAAAACAACGAGCACAGCCAAACACCGAGCCGGTCGACCACTTAGGCGAGCTGCAATGCTACCAGCCTGATCCCGTCTACGAGCAGTATTAGGCAAGGATAATCAGTACACCGAATACTATTGGCAACACGTTAATGAGCACGATGGCAACGATACCGATTGCCTTGCCGTGCGCAACAACTATTGTTACCAATGCGAGAGTTGACTACCACTCGGGTCTCAACAAGAGGACTATGGCAATATTGGCATCCCGACGAACAACCGCAGGATCTCAATGATGAACCCATCACAACAATAGCAGCAACACAGTCTGGAACTCCATAGCAGGTAGCGGTGATGTTTTCGGGCATAGCCTTAACAGTGTTACAAAGTACCAACATCGTCTTAAAATGGATTACCATAACCGAACGGGGAGTAGCAACTTGGTGGATAATGCACAGTCATCAAACCCCAACGCCAACAGCTGCCTGCAGGATGTTAAGTTCAACACTTAACTCGTTCCTTTCAACTTCTTTCTTCAGTGCGCCTGACTCTTCCCTTTGGCCAGGTCTTAGTAGCCTTAGAAAGCACTTGGGATAGGCAGCTCAAAGCACGAAGATAGCCACAATCCAGGCAATAACTTCAGGTGGCATTAGTAAGATGGCCACAGCGGAAGAAGAGTCCGGTTCGTGTGTGCAAGGAAAGAAAACACCGAGCACAGCCAAACATCGAGCTGGTCGACCACTTAGGCGAGCTGCAATGCTACCAGCCGGATCGCGTCTACGAGCAGTATTAGGCAAGTATAATCTTTACATCGAGTACTATTGGCAACACGTTAATGAGCACGATGGCAACGATACCGATTGCCTTGCCGTGGGCAACAACTATTGTTACCAATGCGAGAGTTGACTACCACTCCGGTCTCAACAAGAGGACTATGGCAATATTGGGATCCCGACGAACAACCGCAGGATCTCAATGATGTACCCATCGAGCAGCGGCTCCTTAGAACATGTGTATCTCTCCTTAGAACATAACTTGGTACATGTGTACAACAAGAATGCACCTATCGCCCGAACATTAGAAGATGCATCACCATCGATCATTCCCATGCAACAAGGATCTCTGTTGCATTCTTGCACCTTGCCTCCCAACTTCTTTCTCTCCCTCTTTGCACCTACCCCCCTTGATTCTTAGTACACCTGGCCAATGCCACGGCCAGATTCGTGCAGTTACTCCCTGCACGAGAAGGGAGACTGCAATAAATGAGCACAAAGGGGAACACAGCGACCGCCAATGCGAAGATGAGCACGATTCAATGAACACAAACACGACAACCACGAAAATGAGCAGCACGGCTAGGACGACCTCGAAGACAAGGAACACTAGGCAGGTAAGCTCCTCTCGGCCTCGCTGTTAGCTCCCCCTCCTCACGATCTCTCTATCTCTCCACGCGCTCGTCCTTTTTGCTGTTTTCCCCAGTCTGTCCTACCGTCATCGATTCTAACCGTGATCTTGGTTAAATGCGGCATCTTCAAAGACAGCCTTTGCAGTTCGGGGGCCACAATGGGTAGGCATCAGCGTGACGATGCCCGCTAATTGCACGTTTGAATCTAGAGCTGCGCCACGATGATGATCGGACGACCACTATGATGGCGCAAATCAGGATCGGGATGACGACTAAGAGTAGTAGCACTAATGGCGAGCTTGATCACGACCACGAGGACGGTGGCCAGAGTGAACATGGCAATGACAATCACTACGGAGATTAATGTTTGGTTCTCGATAACGATCAGGAACACCAGCGCGATCAGCTACGAGGAGGTCGTCACGTCCCCCTCCAGTCACCAAAAGTGCATAATGAGAATGAATTTTCTGCTAGAAAATGGGAAGGTACATCACCATCTTCAGAAATCCTCTCGAAGTAGACACGCAGCCCCCAGTGCCTATAGCGACCAAATTATCACCAGAACCAACAATCTGCCGCTGCCATCAGATTCGTAGTGGTCGAAAACCTCCATGTAGCATCTTGGACCGTCTAAAGCGGCCAGGGAATGATTGAGATCCGTCACTTTCACTTCTGTTTTTCCTCTCCTCTTCGTCCTCTTCCTCCCCAGCATTCTCTCTCTCTTCTTTCTCACCTTCTACTAACTCTTTGCTCAATCTAATTGCAGATTCGAATTTGCCCTTCCCCTAATTGTCTATTCCACATCTTCCCATGCTCGATTCTGTTAGGAATCGAGTAAGCTATGAATTTCTTCCTCTGCCATAGTCATCTTCTCCTCCGCCTTCGTCACTTTCTGTTACATCTTCGACGCCACACGGGTCCTACCGGACCCGACTTAGGGCTAGAGGGACACATCAGGGCCTAAAGGCCCGACCTTGGGGGTACTACAGGCCATAAAGGCCTCACCTTGGACCAAACCCGACGGGCAGGCCCAAACGACATTACCGTTTGGGCCTGGCGGCACTCTTGAGGCTGCCGCCCGCCGGTTGGGGCTGAACCGTCCATCTGGACGGTTCAGGGCACGGCCAGGCCTCACAGCATTGAGGCCGGCCTCTTCCCCACCGGTATATAGAACCGGTCCGGCCTCACTTCGGGGATCGACCCACCGGTATACGATATGGTGCGGTAAGGTCGGCACCAGAGTGCCGTTGGAGCGCTATGTTTAGCGCAGGAGCGAGGAGCAGGCAGCGCAGCGGTAGCGCAGCAGCAGCGGCGACTGGGTTACCAGCGGCCATAGCCGCCTGAGGTACCGGGAGTTGGAGGCTTCTCTCCTCCCTCCCATCGCCAGTCCCCTCTCTCTCCCTCTCCTCCTCGGCTCCCTCCTTCTCCTTCTTCTTCT